TTATAAAATTGGGAGAGTTTCCATCTCGATATTTTTATTTTTTCTCTCACTTTCTGACTGCATTAGATTGGTATTAAAATCAATCTACACTTCTCCATACTATTGAGAGGCTCATTCTTGAATCTTTTATAGAGGAACTACATCGTAGGAGAAAAAAATATACAGGTTTGTTAGGAGATTGACTTGTTGACACAACATTGACAGAGTGAACGAGGGGCACAACATGGAAAGGGCCCTTCGAGACATTGATAAGTGCTTATCTAGACTTTTAAACTTAAAGAATATTGATTATTTGAGTGGGTTTCTACTTAATTTAGAATTTACATGGCTTTTATTGGTGAAAATCCCGACTTCAGTGTGAATTGACCATAAAGGAGAGTTTTTGGACCTTAAATTGGACAAAATGATAGATTTGCACAGTTGTCGAGAAGTTCAAGGACTTGAATGGAGGCATCAAAAGTATATTTATGTATTCGCAAGTTTTGAAGCTAAATTTCACTTTTGGAGAAGTTTGAGGCCCAACTTGAACACTCTCAACACTTTTGGAGGATCAAGTTTGAAAAAATAAAAGCTGAAGGACCAAAATGGAAGAATTGACAATGAAGAACCAATCCGAAGGCAATTTGGAAGTGACAGACCTAATAGTAATGATTCAAAGTTGAGGGACCAAAAGTGTATGAAAATAGAGCTAAAAGATAACACTATACAGAAACAGTGAACTGGGGACTAGAACACAGATTTTGCCCCAGTTTGGTATGGATTAAAATATAAATTAACAATTAATTTTAACCATATATTTTATGGATCCCAACACTTTTCAACAACATATTTCATCAACTTCTATTAAAATTTACTAAAAATATAATTTTAATACTCATCAAATAGGTTCTTAATATATAGAGGACTCAAGGTGCAATTTTTGACTATCTAAGCCGCATATTGGTGCCCCTAAGTAAATCCCGCTAGCTCCTTGCAAGTAATTTGGGTTCAATCATGCTACATGTACATCATTTTTGACATTTTTTTTAATATTGTATCACTTGACAACACATCATTAAAAAAAAAATTTATTTCCCGTCCTCCAAATTTTGAAAGAGTAATGCTATGGGTACATCACCATTCACATAAAGGTTCACATAATAACACGTGGC